CATCAACTACCATCACCCGATTCTTCCAAGATAATCATAGATGTACAAACCAATTAAGGGGCACAACATCAACTACCATCACCGGTTCTTCCGAGATAACCATAGATGTACATACCAATTAAGGGGTACAACAGACCACATCAACTACCATCACCCAATTCTTCCGAGATAATCATAGATGTACAAACCAATTAAGGGGTACAACAGACAACATCAACTACCATCACCCGATTCTTCCGAGATAATCATAGATGTACAAACCAATTAAGGGGTACAACAGACCACATCAACTACCATCACCCGATTCTTCCGAGATAATCATAGATGTACAAACCAAGTAAGGGGCACAACAGACAACATCAACTACCATCACCCGATTCTTCCGAGATAATCATAGATATACAAACCAATTAAGGGGCACAACAGACCACATCAACTACCATCACCCGATTCTTCCGAGATAACCATAGATGTACAAACCAATTAAGGGGCACAACATCAACTGCCATCACCCGATTCTTCCGAGATAATCATAGATGTACAAACCAATTAAGGGGCACAACAGACCACATCAACTACCATCATCCGATTCTTCCGAGATAATCATAGATGTACAAACCAATTAAGGGGTACAACAGACCACATCAACTACCATCACCCGATTCTTCCGAGATAACCATAGATGTACAAACCAATTAAGGGGTACAACAGACCACATCAACTACCATCACCCGATTCTTCCGAGATAATCATAGATGTACAAACCAATTAAGGGGTAAAACAGACCACATCAACTACCATCACCCGATTCTTCCGAGATAATCATAGATGTACAAACCAATTAAGGGGCACAACATCAACTACCATCACCGGTTCTTCCGAGATAACCATAGATGTACATACCAATTAAGGGGTACAACAGACCACATCAACTACCATCACCCGATTCTTCCGAGATAATCATAGATGTACAAACCAATTAAGGGGTACAACAGACAACATCAACTACCATCACCCGATTCTTCCGAGATAATCATAGATGTACAAACCAATTAAGGGGTACAACAGACCACATCAACTACCATCACCCGATTCTTCCGAGATAATCATAGATGTACAAACCAATTAAGGGGCACAACAGACAACATCAACTACCATCACCCGATTCTTCCGAGATAATCATAGATGTACAAACCAATTAAGGGGCACAACAGACCACATCAACTACCATCACCCGATTCTTCCGAGATAACCATAGATGTACAAACCAATTAAGGGGCACAACATCAACTACCATCACCCGATTCTTCCGAGATAATCATAGATGTACAAACCAATTAAGGGGCACAACAGACCACATCAACTACCATCATCCGATTCTTCCGAGATAATCATAGATGTACAAACCAATTAAGGGGTACAACAGACCACATCAACTACCATCACCCGATTCTTCCGAGATAACCATAGATGTACAAACCAATTAAGTGGTACAACAGACCACATCAACTACCATCACCCGATTCTTCAGAGATGATCATAGATGTACAAACCAATTAAGGGGCACAACAGACCACATCAACTACCATCACCCGATTCTTCCGAGATAATCATAGATGTACAAACCAATTAAGGGGTACAACAGACCACATCAACTACCATCACCCGATTCTTCCGAGATAATCATAGATGTACAAACCAATTAAGGGGTACAACAGACCACATCAACTACCATCACCGGTTCTTCCGAGATAACCATAGATGTACATACCAATTAAGGGGTACAACAGACCACATCAACTACCATCACCCGATTCTTCCGAGATAATCATAGATGTACAAACCAATTAAGGGGCACAACAGACAACATCAACTACCATCACCCGATTCTTCCGAGATAACCATAGATGTACAAACCAATTAAGGAGCACAACAGACCACATCAACTACCATCACCCGATTCTTCCGAGATAACCATAGATGTACAAACCAATTAAGGGGCACAACATCAACTACCATTACCGGTTCTTCCGAGATAATCATAGATGTACAAACCATTTAAGGGCCACAACAGACCACATCAACTACCATCACCCGATTCTTCCGAGATAATCATAGATGTACAAACCAATTAAGGGGTACAACAGACCACATCAACTACCATCACCCGATTCTTCCGAGATAATCATAGATGTACAAACCAATTAAGGGGCACAACAGACCACATCAACTACCATCACCCGATTCTTCCGAGATAACCATAGATGTACAAACCAATTAAGGGGTAAAACAGACCACATCAACTACCATCACCCGATTCTTCCGAGATAATCATAGATGTACAAACCAATTAAGGGGCACAACAGACAACATCAACTACCATCACCCGATTCTTCCGAGATAATCATAGATGTACAAACCAATTAAGGGGCACAACAGACCACATCAACTACCATCACCCGATTCTTCCGAGATAACCATAGATGTACAAACCAATTAAGGGGCACAACATCAACTACCATCACCCGATTCTTCCGAGATAATCATAGATGTACAAACCAATTAAGGGGCACAACAGACCACATCAACTACCATCATCCGATTCTTCCGAGATAATCATAGATGTACAAACCAATTAAGGGGTACAACAGACCACATCAACTACCATCACCCGATTCTTCCGAGATAACCATAGATGTACAAACCAATTAAGTGGTACAACAGACCACATCAACTACCATCACCCGATTCTTCCGAGATGATCATAGATGTACAAACCAATTAAGGGGCACAACAGACCACATCAACTACCATCACCCGATTCTTCCGAGATAATCATAGATGTACAAACCAATTAAGGGGTACAACAGACCACATCAACTACCATCACCCGATTCTTCCGAGATAATCATAGATGTACAAACCAATTAAGGGGTACAACAGACCACATCAACTACCATCACCGGTTCTTCCGAGATAACCATAGATGTACATACCAATTAAGGGGTACAACAGACCACATCAACTACCATCACCCGATTCTTCCGAGATAATCATAGATGTACAAACCAATTAAGGGGCACAACAGACAACATCAACTACCATCACCCGATTCTTCCGAGATAACCATAGATGTACAAACCAATTAAGGAGCACAACAGACCACATCAACTACCATCACCCGATTCTTCCGAGATAACCATAGATGTACAAACCAATTAAGGGGCACAACATCAACTACCATTACCGGTTCTTCCGAGATAATCATAGATGTACAAACCATTTAAGGGCCACAACAGACCACATCAACTACCATCACCCGATTCTTCCGAGATAATCATAGATGTACAAACCAATTAAGGGGTACAACAGACCACATCAACTACCATCACCCGATTCTTCCGAGATAATCATAGATGTACAAACCAATTAAGGGGCACAACAGACCACATCAACTACCATCACCCGATTCTTCCGAGATAACCATAGATGTACAAACCAATTAAGGGGTAAAACAGACCACATCAACTACCATCACCCGATTCTTCCGAGATAATCATAGATGTACAAACCAATTAAGGGGTACAACAGACCACATCAACTACCATCACCCGATTCTTCCGAGATAATCATAAATGTACAAACCAATTAAGGGGTACAACAGACCACATCAACTACCATCACCCGATTCTTCCGAGATAACCATAGATGTACAAACCAATTAAGGGGCACAACAGACCACATCAACTACCATCACCGGTTCTTCCGAGATAATCATAGCTGTACAAACCAATTAAGGGGTACAACAGACCACATCAACTACCATCACCGGTTCTTCCGAGATAATCATAGATGTACAAACCAATTAAGGGATACAACAGACCACATCAACTACCATCACCGGTTCTTCCGAGATAATCATAGATGTACAAACCAATTAAGGGGTACAACAGACCACATCAACTACCATCACCCGATTCTTCCGAGATAATCATAGATGTACAAACCAAACCCAGACTTTGGGGTTTTAATAGTATGAGTTCAACTGAATTTAGGGGACATTAGCTGTCAAATTCATGTTCACTGATTTGAACCAAATTCTCATATTTAATTTATAACAAACTTAAAAGGTCCCCTGTTTCACTTTTCAATGTTGACATTCTTTTCTTTTTAATGAATGAGACACACGAAGAACACATGCGCAACCATTTCTTCTGAAGGTCAAATTAAAAGGTTGCATGAATACGGATTCAAATGAAGTGAATTATTGACTTGTAAGTCAATAATACACCAGTGATGTTTTTTTTAGCGTGTTTTGACGAAATTGAACCAAACTGACTGATAATAGCTAAATGTTATTTCTTTACTCCTCTTTTATAAATGTTTGAAACAAAAACAAAAACATTTTTTGTCGAATTCGTAGTTAATGCCCATTTAAGATAACGGGTAAGCAGGAGCTTTTATCCCTACAGTTTACAATACGGATTGACGTTGCTGAAAAAGAATTGCGGTAGCGTCAGAATATGTTATATACAAATTAATTTTTATTTAACAAGTCAGTAGCATGGGATAGCATTATAAATAAAGGGTTTGTAAGTAGATATGAATATTTCAAATGTAGTCAACATTTCAATGAATACGATGAACAACCTTCAGCAGATACTTATAACACTTTTAACAACGAGAAATGAGATTTTCATCAACAATACAATCCTTGAGATGAAATGTATACACGTTGGTGTTCAATCATACACAATATATACAATATAATCAAATATATCCCTATCTAATTAAATTTATTCCATTTCTTACTAATCACTGTATATGGCAAATGTTCCTTCTAGTTCATGGAATAATTATAACTATTAGAGTGCTGTTTAGGAAAACCATATGTATCAAGCAATATGGACGCTATTGTGAGTATTAATTATTATTATGGCTTCTTTGCTGTGCAGATTAACATGAGCGACACTATTTAATCAATATTTTTTTTTTTCCAGATAAATGAGATTTCTGAAGAACAGTTGAGAGGTAAGTAAACGGCTATTTTGATTGTATTTACTATGTATACTTGCTTTATCTTACTGTGACAAAATTAACTTCATTTTTGTAGTTGTCAAATACTTTTGAAGTATGTTTGTTGTTCGGAGGTTAATTCCATGCATCCCGTAATACCGTGTTATTTTATACTTGTTTTAGAAAAGAAAGAAAATAAATGTAGATATTAGGACAAATAAGACAGCAAACTTACAAAACCATCAATACGGTTTTTCGATCTACAGCAATATACAATAAAAATCATTATATATATAGCCCCTAAAATGACTCAAATCTTTACCTATAGTAGTTACAGAGGAATAATACTTCTTTAAAGTTTCTTGTTATATGCCTTCCTGTATAACAAATTTTAATTTTCATTTTTATTCTCTAGTTCATCGCAAAACAGAGTTGTTCCCATATATCATTTACATGAATCATATATTATACGATAAATAAAGTTGCTACCCTATATTGGTAACATGTGACACTCTAGTCTAGCCGATGATTTTGAATATTTTTGTAGTAGTGTTTACCCGTTTGAACCAAAACTTCTTGTGTCTCTTTATTTACTTAAATGGACATATTCCGCGTGTAGTATTTGGATATCAGCTTGACAGTGATGTATTGTAACGTGTGAGAATTTTCGGATCTGCTAGACGCCTACTTCCTGTTTCCCTACATGCTTTTATTTTTAAATGTTGAATTAGCTAAATTATTCGGCTTTCTCTGGTATGACTTAACAGATTGACTTCATATTTGCTCAGCAGCTTGACCATGATTAGTTGTAAAGTATAAGTGCTTTTCAGATCAATCAGACACCAATAGTTCTTCCAGTTTGCCGATTCTCAGAAGTACAAGTGAGGTTCATTCATGAGATCATCACGATAACGAGTTCAACTTCTCGTTGAACATTTAATTGCCAGAATTTTGCAGCTATAGCGGCTACATTTACCCCCTACGACACTAGAGTATAAATTTAAAACTTTGTGTTTTATTGTCATGGCTCTAACAATAGCATGATATATACAGTCATGTAATCTCAATCCAAAATGTATTTTTATGTTCTCTCCTAAATTAGAATTTAAGGAAGCATTCAGCCTGTTTGACAAAGATGGTGACGGTACGATATCAGCCATTGAACTGGGTGTTATAATGAGGTCATTAGGTCAAAATCCAAGTGACCAAGAATTACAAAACATTATCAGTGAAGTTGATGTTGACGGTAAGACGTTATGCAATCAAGCTATTACGTTCATTTCGTTTACATTTTAAAGATAACCTCAAACATTGAATTGCTCACATACAAACAAATGTAGGTAAGTAAAAAGAAATACTCACTCACATCTTTAAGATGGACAGACATTTGTGTTCTCCTGTCCTACTCATTGCTATTACACTTTTAACATTAATTAAGTAAACCATACATTCATCTCAAAGAAGTTTAGAGATTTCTGATGATTTCGTATGTGTGAATTAACCGGATATTAAGGCTTATTACTGCTGTGAAAATTACGAAATAATTCTCACGCGGCAAGCTCTATGCTCACTTTAAACGGTTACGCAGTATACTGTCAAACTTTTGTTCTTTGCTTAACGTCCAATGGCAAATATATCATGCATATTAATTCACAATAAATACAATGTATAGTTTCTGTACGATGGGTCCACCGAATGAGGAGCGCGTCATTGGATAACCACTGTAAAATGTAAAAATGATGTTTCGTTGGAAAGAAACTTTGCCTTTTAGCCATCTAAGGACTTATCAGAGAGTTGCTGCAAGAGTTCTTTAACGTGAACTTGCGTGAAACTCTCCATACAGTATGCATTAAGTTTAATAACCCTATTCTGACCGGATGTGTCTGCATACCGCATGGCTAAACGACAACCACTTTAGAAAGGGTTTTACCACCGGACGGTAGAGTTCCATGGATAATCATATTTCTATACCGTAGTCAAATTTTGACAATTTTTGTTTTCAGTACTACTCGATTCGTAATTGATTTGACCTTTGAACTGTTTTGATTCGAGCGCCACTGACGAATCTTTATGTTGACGAAATGCGCGGTTGGCGTACTTAATAAGATCTAATAAGCCTGGTATTTTCAATGACTGTTTACATAAAATATAATACAGAATAACGTCTATCATTGTTTTATAAGTATGGATTACAGTATAGTCGACTGCAAATATGACAAAATGAAAAAAATTGCTTACACTCACTTCATTTGAAATCTGGTGGATAGTTGTCCCATTGGCAATTATAGCATTTTATATAAGTACTGAATATTGTCTTTTCAACAGGAAATGGAATAATAGATTTTCAAGAATTTCTTACTATGATGGCTAAGAAAACAAAAGATACTGATTCAGAGGAAGAAATTAGAGAAGCATTTAAAGTCTTCGATAATGACGGTAATGGAACAATTTCATCAAACGATCTGAGACAGATTATGACGACATTTGGTGACAAGCTACCAGACGATGAAATAGATGCCATGATAAGAGAAGCAGACTCAAATGGGGACGGTCAAATCAACTATATTGGTCCGTATATCTTCTTTCTTGTTTAAGATGTAAAATTACTCCACCGCATCTCTAAGCTTGCTTATAAGATACTGGATTAAAACAGATAATTAACATGAAATTGTTGGAAGAAAGATTTTAAAAGCACAAAATCTATTTTCAAGTTTTGATAGAAATCTTGATCAATACAATACAATTAAAAAATGTAGACTCCGAAATGCTTTCCAAATAAAATAACAATATTTTATGATCCAGATAAATACGAATAATGCGACAGAAATCAAATGACGAAAAATCCAGAAAACATAGACAAGTGTATGTTCAACATGCCCAGCTCTAAATCGTCCATATTCTAGAAAAGTTGTGAAAAATTTAACAAATTATACCGAAGAACTGCCATTGATACTTGTTACGATATAACAAATGACAACCTGTTGGAAGGTACGACAGTCACGTGATCAAGTTATCTTATTAAAAAATTATGTTAACTTACAGTTATACTGTCTGATCTCTTTTGAAATATGACGACATCGGCCATTCAGTTGAAATCAATTTACTTTTAATTTGATTTCAGAATTCGTGAGGAAAATGTGTAGATATTGAAGAAAGGATGGTCTTAAGAAGAGATTTTTATTTAGGCATTCATACGCACCAAGACATTTAATGAAGCCTTGGTATTTTGATGTTTTTCATTATTAAATATTTAAAACGTATCAACCTGCACGGTCAATGCAAGCTGGTAACTGTAGAAGTTACAAATTTATACTTTTTTCTCTCGATAAAAGTAGCTTTAGCATTAAAATTATAAATCAGCCATTGCAATTTGTTTATTTTCCATCGAGTTCTATATTCATATTAAGTAAAGACAATCTGATTTCTGGATTTTGTTCTGTAAGGACTACTCAACCAAGTTCCAGAATGTATTCAGAACTGATAGCAAATCTTTCATATATGTAGGACTCGGAGGTGCGATGGGGACGCTGAAGTGCGATGATCACGCTGAAGTGCGATGGTCTTCGCCGAAGTGCGATGGTCTGTTCGCTGAAGTGCGATGGTCTATATATGTCCTTAGTTATAGTTTCATACTAAATGAGAACTCGTTCTCTTTAAGTTTGCTGCATGAGGACATTATTCTGCGTTAACAGTTTATCTTTACTTTGTTCCCTTCATCTGAGATTACTATATGTGTTATAGTAATCTCAGCTCTCAGCTCTCATGAGTTCTATGTTTACCGTAATATCCTAAGACGGAGAGTCTGTCTGCGGACCCGTATGTAGTTAGAGATTTCCAAGCACCATCGTACGTAAAAAACAAAACTTCTGTAAATTTCGAAAAAGGGTCTGCTACAGAGAGGCTAAATTTCCCCTGTTTAATAATTATTTCACTTTACCAGTAATATTAAGAATGTATTTACTTGTATTCATGTTGGATATACAAAAACATTCCATATTTTCTCTAGTTGCTGTAAAAAACACATACGGTGATAAGTTCATTAGGCACTTCTTATAATGCGTTTTAAACTGCTATCACATTTTCAGTCATTGAAATAAGCACTGGTTTTAATGGAAACAAAATCTTTGCATGTAGCGGCTGGAAATATTGTATGAATGTTGACCTCTTTTCGTCAAAAGTAAACTACAACGTTACAATTATGACTGGAAATATTCTCGATGGTTTACTTATTAAACAAGAAAGCTGCTTCTAGCAAACATATTTACTTCTTCATCGACATGTGAACATGAAAAACACTAAAAATATAGTTTATGTAACCCATCGCACTTCAGCGAAACCACCATCGTACTTCGGCGTAGCTATCAACAAGATAGCGTAACAATGCCACCATCGCACTTCAGCGTCTAACCATCGCACATCAGCGTGACCATCGCGGTTCGGAGTGCCATCACGGTTCAGAGTCTTACATATGTAAAACCGTTAACAATATATTTGTATTATGGTAGCAAATTTAAAAGCCATTTATGTGGGAAAAAAGAAGTCTTTGGTTGTTTTAAACCCATTTAAAAAGGTGAGGAAATGAATGAAAAACGTTATTATGTAGAATGATTAACCGCAGTTTCTCTGAGACAAATATGCCGTAATCAACAATGGGGTATCGTGTTTTAAAAATGTGTCCGATGATCCCACCTGCCAACCAACATGGCCGATATGGTAAAAAAGAACATAGGGGTAAAATGCATGTTTTGTCTATTGTCTTGAAAACCGTTAAAGAAAGAGATAATCTGACGTAAGCAGAAATGTTCAGACCTACTGTCTATTTTGTCAAAGTTATCAGAGGACTCCTTATGGAGTTCTTGTCCTTAATAGACGATTTTTTACCATTTGTTTCTCATTTTTTCCTGTCATCGGGAAAATTATCATAGATAAAGAAAAACTTAAAATGACAAGAAAGATTAGCAAGACAAGATCTACAAATCAATCAACATCACCGAAATCATCAGTCAACTCCGTATAAGAGTTATTGTCCTTAAATGAAGATGTTTACCATTTTTTTGCGCTTTTGCCTCTTATCTTGAAAACTATAACAGATAGAGAAACTTTAGATGGCAAAAGTTATTATAGGATAAGATCTACAAATAAACCAAGCATGACCGAAATTGTCAGTGTTCTAAGTACTGCCCTTTATTGAGGAGTTTAATACATCTTAGCATTTTTGGCAAAAACTGGAGTAGGTAAGAAAATGCACAGCTTACACGATCAGCAGGACAAGGTCTGCATATAGGTCAAAATAGAACCGAAACTGCCAATCAAATTCTTAAAGGAATTATTGTCTTTATACAACGAAATTTACCCATTTTACATTTAGTGCAAAACCTATAGTAGATAGAGAGAAATTGTAAGAAGCAAAATTGATCAGCTAGACAATATCTACACATAGAGTAAGAAGACAGAAATCCACTTTTTCTATGAGTTATTGTCCTTAAATGTTCCTTTAACTATGTGATATTGATATAAGGGGGTTTACAACACAATGGTTATCGTATCGATTGATAAAGTTACTTAATGTAAGATCAAAGAACTCTGCTGATTTAGAATTCAATAATACCGCTTTCAAAGCTCTGGGAGACATCTCTCAAATAAATAAGGAACATGCAAATCTCAAAAAATATTATTCCATCATAATAATAATAATCTCATATTTTTTTTCTAGCATATTGTTTTATTTAGTTAGTTGATGCTATGTTGTTCTATATTAAAATAAATTAGTACCTAGTTCTTACTTTGGAAAAACATAGTTTTGGGATTTTCAATTAAACATTGTAACATGAATCAAAATGTATAAAACAAACTATTTCGAACAAAAGAGGCTCAGATGAATTGCAGATAAATTATTTTGACTTTTAAAATGGAACGAATGATATGATATGATACAGTACTGATATTGAAATAACTATATATTAATCAAAGTACTGAAGTACTGAACATCGGATGACCACAAGTTCTTGAGGATGGTCAAAAGCACTTGTCTCAGAAAAAAACAACATATCTCTTTACCTGAAACTGAGGTTAATGTACAGAGATATATTTTTTTCTGAGACAAGTTCGTGCGTGGATGATGAATAAATGACAGGAAATTCAACTTCACCATAATAACTATTATATTGTAGTGATACAAATCAGTACACATGGTGGACACTTTTCTGTAAAAATTCGATTTTTCTAAGATTGGATACGAGTAGGCATTCATATTTTCCCGCAAAAACAATTACAGAGTTACCGGTCCTCGCAAAAAGTTCTCTGAGATATTCTTCCGCATGCTTTTAACACAATTTTTCGGTACGTCTGCATTGATATTATCAATGATTTTTTACTTATATATATATATCGAACTACAAAACATTTTCATATTATTAATTTATGTTGTAAACAAAAATATTTTTATCGGTATTCATTGAAGAGATGTATTTATATCAAACGATAAGGAATGTTATTTTGCATTCGTTTATGTGCGCATATTTATCATGTTTATAGATCGGTTACAAACCCAAAACTAATTTACATAATGGAAATCTAGGCGATAGCAATACATCTGAATGACCCCAAGGTCATCGCGATGTAAAAATGACGGTATTCCTAATTATCCAGATTTCCTAATTTAGAAAATTATTTAGCAACGAAAGGTACTAAATGGGTCTCTTTAAAGAAAATGTCATGCAACATCTCTGACCTGTCCATTATCAGTAAACATATTTTTAGAACAACAGTACTATAAATTAAGTAACATGACAAAGTCAAAAAGAAGCTTATCAAAGCTTAGAGTTTGAATAAAAATATATACAAATAATAAATACTTTTAAATAATTGATTATAAATTAGTAAATTGTTCACGGATCAACCGAAACTTTGTACATAACAGTAACTTAATCCCAAATGTACCGAGATATAGTCAGTATTAAACAATAAAGGTTAATACAGTTAGTTTGAATGATACCATCATTGCCCCCATAACACAATAACATTTATTAAATCACGCAGATATACCATAATCCATATAGTAATGAACACTATAGGAAACTAAAATGTCGAGTGAACTGGTAGATGTGAGTATTTTTGTCATGTTTTATGTGATTTGTTCAACGTTTTTGTAAACATTTTGAAACGACTTTTGTTTTTTTACAACTTACAATTTTACTTAAGATTCGTTGCGATATTCGTTGCGGAAAAACTATTCTCTTAGACTATATATCTAATATATCCAAATCGATCAATATTGTTTAGTCGATGTCATTGTAAATGAACATTTTTTTAATCATATTTGATTGTTCCGATAGCTAAAATCAAGAAGAAAGAAAGAAAAGCAAATTATTCTACTGTTCTGTAATATAATGGTCGTGAATGAGTTCTCAATTGAGTTTGAAAAGCTTATTTGGGTCCCAGAAGTTAATCGTGCGCTTATCTGCATCAACAGTAGAACAGCAACTGGTGAATAGTTGGTTGACTGATTATGCATTCCTTAAACTTTTAATATTGTTTTTATGATTTTAAAATTGTATTGGTTTGTTGTTTTTTAGGCTCTATTTTGTTTTTCTTGTCTTTTCCTTCTTTAATTTGTTAGACTTTAAATACTAATTTTAAAATGTATATTAGTATACAACGAAAAGATATAACTACATTTTGACAGACTTTCTGCTTCTGCTATTTATAAAAACTGAGAAGTAAAAACTGCATTAGACTGATAAATAGTTACATCATTAGCGAAATGGAGGTAATAAATATGCAATAATTCTCTACGAATGTTCTTGACACAATTACTCTCAATGGATCCATATACCTTGTAACCTTATTTGTTTCACTTAGTAAATCGAATGCCGAGTTTCAGTTTTCCCCAATCAGGGAATATATCTGTTCGTTGTATTAATGTAGAAAGAAGTTAGTTGTGTTATCTTTCGATAATGAATGAGGTGCGTACTTCCGTAGCTATTTTCTGGATTAACACCTTCATTAGGTACGGTCAAACCAAAACATTTGAAACTTTTTTTTCAATGGCTTGAATTCTAAATGTCTTATGTTTATTTACATTGATATAATATAAATTTATAAAATGTTCCGATTTGCAAGTTTACATGAAATAATCCCCAGCTCTTCATTTTTATACGCTCGTTTACGGGACGTATTATGTATGGTATACCGTTGTCCGTCCGTCCGTCGTCAACATGTAAGCTCCCATTCGATTTTTATAAATTTTAGATTTTACTTTTCCGAGTAATGGGATTTTATTCAGAAAAAAGGGGGGATTTTCCAGTTTTCGGACAATAACTCAAAAGTGCTTTGAGCAGTTTTCATGAAACTTTATATCTTATATCTATAGTTTTTTTATATAATTTTCTGATATGACATTGAGGAGTTATCGAACTTTATTCTTGAAAAAGTGAGGGGCGTATCATGCGCTCATGTCGCAGCTGTTTATTTTTTTATGAAATCTCTCTTTTTATCTCTTTATTTTGCTCATTTGACCAGTAAAAACTACTGCCATTACTAGCTATAGGCGTCTGGTTCATTACTTTTCAAATTTTTGCTAATTCCTTCAATTCAACACGACTATTCGAACCATGCTTATGCTTATTATGCACAATTTCTGTCCAATTTAACGAAGAACTTGGGCAAGAGACAAAATTTTAATCTTAATGCTCTTTTTCATTTCTGTTATCTTTAAAATTAAAAGGCCAAATATTTTGAGAGAGAATGACATGGAGATTCATAAACCAAGGAAACCTAATTCCGTGTTGATTTGATGTCAGTGGTACCTCAAAGGTTCCATTAAATCAAGGAAACCTAATTCCGTGTTGATTTGATGTCAGTGGTACCTCAAAGGTTCCATTAAATCATGTTGTAGACCATTTTTTTTTCTTTTTTTTCTCTGAAACTACATACATGTGTACACTAGTTAATGTGAATCAATACTTTCCTTTAGAAAAACATACGTATATGGAAGGCTGTTTTGCAACATTTCATTTCATCGTAATCAATTAAAAATTCCTTTATGTTACGGTACAGTAAATGGGGTATGTCACAAATATTGATAAAAATATGCAATGACAGTCTTTTTTACTTTGTAAACGTATATAAAATAAGAGAATGGCGACTGTCTATGTCATATACAAATAAGAAGATATGATTGCCAATGAGACAACACTCCACCAGAGACCAAATCTCATAGAAGTCAACAACTATAGGTCACCATACGGCCTTCAACAATGATCAAAACCCATACCGCATAGTCAGCTAAAAAAGGCCCCGAAATGACGAATGTAAAACAATTCAAACGAGAATATATATGTTCCTGAGTTGGACGGTTTTCATAAAAATAAACAATGATTGTCCTTATCACTTTTCAGCTTTATATAAAAAAATATGAGACTGATAGTATCTGTCACTTTTTGTCAATAAATATCGACATTATGCTTGTCTATATTCTGTAAATGATCACATATTCTTATGGTTCATGTCACTTTAAACAAAATATTTGTTTCCTAGCTGTATCTGGATGTCTACGTGTTTCTGCTTACAAGGGTGCCACTGAATCAATGGATCTAGAAAGTTTTATTTACGGACGTAATTATAACCTTGACCTTGTTGATCGTAATGGAGTACAGTTTTACCTGATGACCACGAATAATTAATTTGTCTAAGCAGCAGTCACCTTTCTGTCCTCTAAATATTACCAACCACGTCTTGTACCTGGATTATTTGTTACAGTGCTCAATACTGCATCCCCTGTTCTGTGCTAAGTTCATTTAGCTTAGTTTTCTGGGTAATATAATGGTAAAGATTTAGTATGTTTTTCTTCGACTTGTGTGTTTAACTGACCCTTTGGTGTCTCCTTTTTCATCTGAATGGGAACCTAGGTGGGATTAATGATATCTTGTATGTGACCTGAACACCATGCATTAATTTCAACGTTTAGGTTTAAAGGACTTTCTCATATTCATTATACTCGAGAGCTTGACTGATGTATAGAAATATTGTCATTAGGACTGTAAAACCCTGTTAAATGTTCAATGTAGAATTTACGCTATTCATCTAAGTTCCCTTTTGGTCATATTGAGGCTACCGTTTCTACGTTTTTTTATACAATAATGGATTACAAATGTTCAGGTGATGAAGGTAAATCAAGAAAGCTCTTCGGACGCACTAAATATACAAAGAATTATTTCCATTTAAACTAAACATGTCCATAATTGGTCTGTTCGATATGTATGAATATGAAGAAACGCCTGTCGGAATTGGGGCGTTCAATCCGATGCCTTTTGTAGGTAACCAATATAATGACTTTTTGAGGGGTTAAATTGTACGCCCCTATCAACATACCCTCTTTTTCGACTCACTCAGTGACAGGGGATCACTGATATATTATACATACACCGATACATTGACAAGGACGATCACTGACATACTATACATACACTGACACATTGACATAGACGACTACTGACATACTGTATATTATACACTGTGACACATTGACATGGACGATAACTGACATATTATATATACACTAATTCAGAATGAGAGACATAGACAATCCCTGTCATAATATATATAAACTGACACATGGATCTAGACGATCCTTGACATAGTATATATACACTGACATATTGACATAGATGATTACTGACATATCGACATACTAGTAGATGATTACTGACATATTATATATACACTGATAAATTGACAACGACGATCACTGACATACAATATATACACTGACACCGTGACATAGCCTATCACCGAAGTATTATATATACATGACACAGTGACAAAGGCTATTACTGTCTTACATATTATATACACACTTACACAGTGACACAAAGGCTATTACTGACATATTATATATACACTGACACAGTGACATAGAGAATCTATAACATACTTAATATACACTGATACAGTGACATAGACAATCCATAATATATACACACTTACACAGTGACACAAAGGCTATTACTGATATATTATATATACACTGACACAGTGACATAGAGAATCTATGACATACTTAATATACACTGTCACAGTGACATAGACAATCCATAACTTACTATATATACACTGACACATTAAAATAGACGATAACTGATAAAGTGACAAAGACGATCACTGACATACTATATATACACTGACAGAGTCACATTGCCTATCACCGACATATTATATATACATGACACAGTGATATAGGCGATTTTTGTCATACATATTATATATACACTTACACAGTGACACAAAGGCGATTAATGAGATATTATATATACACTTACACAGTGACACAACGTCGATTACTGACATATTATACATACACTGTCACAGTGACATAGATAATCTATAACATACTATATATACAGTGACACAGTGGCATAGTATATCACTTTTATATTGTATATCCACTGACATACTATATATACACTGATACAGTGACAAAGACAATTACTGATAAAATATAACATTGACACAGTGACACAGTGACACAGTGACACAGTTACACAGTGACACAGTGACACAGTATATATACATGACACATTAACATGTGGCATTTAGACTAGTGGCCTATTAAAGTGATCAAGTCTTCAATATTAAGAACCTACTTCCATTGGTCTATACAAAAACAAATGCCAACAATAACAACTTGTTAGCTTTTGATGTGTTTTCTGCATTTATTTTAATCGTTCATCATCAATTTTTTCGTCTCTTGAAACCCTTTAGATTTTTCATCAGCACCGTGTTGATTTTACAAAGGGACGTAACACCACTACTAACCGTGTATTGACCTATAATGGTTTACTTTTATAAATTTTGACTTACACGGATGGAGAGTTGTCTCATTGGCACTCATACCACATCTTCTTATATCTATTGAAATAAACTACGCCTACTTACCCCATATGAATATACACGGTCTCCACGCGGTTGCTTTTAACCAATCATATTCATAGAAATATATAGGAGGTAAGATAAATACACGTACACAGTGACATCGACAATCTATGACATTCTATATACACACTGGCATAGTGACATAAACATCTACTGACATATTGTATATACAGTGACATAGACTATCACTGACATACTATATACACTGACATATTACATAGACGATCACTGACATATCATATACACTGACACAGAGACTATGACAATCACTGACATACTATATATACACTGACATATTGACCTAGACGATCACTAATATATTACATAAATACAATGACACATTGACCATTATTGGCAATATAACAATCTATAACATACAGTATTGCGAAGCTGTCTTATCCCTTCACTGTCCAGGAAGTAAGATGAATTATAACACATTGCCAGACTGATTTATATCAACCAATAAGTAATAATTCAGATTCTTTGTCATAGGACAAGTCATCCTCTGGGCACGATATAATCTTCAATTGTCACATTGACAGATCTAAATTTTAGATTTTTTTTTACATAGACACTTTGATCTATCATATATTACAGAAAGCTGTATCATGTAGTCAGTATGAACCTTTTAAAAAGTGAAATATATAGAAATATTGTTTTGTCATCATTTTAACATTATGCTAAATTACTTGTCTTGTCTTATTAGTATACGTGGTCTTCTTGTTCTTATTTCAGATATTGGATAATAGAATTATTTAAATAACATAACTATAAGTCAGAGTAAAACGAGTATAATTAGTTTTAACAGAACATGCATGCATCAGTACTGTATTACAAATAATCAAAATTCCTTGTATTTTATTAGCAAATATTTGCACCATCTAGATAACAAGTTTATGCTTTGAATAAACAATACTACAATTATTATATTATCTGCTTTTACTATCAATTATCTCCAAATACAGCACGCATACTAAGTAACAATAAAGGTTCTAAAACTAATGTATTACTAAGTAATGTAAGAGGACTAAAATAAGGAAGTGACTCTCATGCAAAGGTCCCCTCAGACGGTTTTAGCTGTTCTGTTTATGTCTTTATGTTTCATATACTCTCAGGCGTTTTATATATTTGGGCATTCAGGGCACGTCTGGTGTATGTTAGTCCAGAAATATGTGTTTAGTACGCATGGGAATCAATATTTAAATACATTGTATTTCCACATATGAACTAGAACTTGAAATGCAGAGTAATTTGACACTTAGATCAACTTATCATAAAAAAACGAAGGCTTACATCAAGAAGTAAGGTTGATTTATCCTTTTAATTCGCACTTGCCCCGGTTTTAAAAAACCCCTTCAATCTTGAATAAAATTTAGAGTGCACAGCTACGTGTATGTTATTTGGTCGTAACAACATAATCAAAGTTATTGTATAGCATTGAAAAGCATTATGATTGTATGAACATATGAAAAATTGATGCAAATTTCTTTTGATATATCATACAGACTCTTCAATATTCGAATTCCACAAATGTTTCATCAATTTGCACATTTGGACTTCTTTAGAATAAAAATCGTGCCGAATCTTATTCAGTTTGAAGCAGTTTTCATTAACATGTATCGAAAACTTCCCTGACCAAAAACTTTGAAGCCCTAAAAATGTTGGGACAATAATATCCCCCAAAAAGGCATAATAGATCGATAATTGAATGGACCAATCATATTAATTATCTTCATATTCAAAATTATCGCATTTCTTGACACTTTTACACCCAAAGAACAGTTACCAATTCGACAAGGGAAGAAGGGAAGCCACAGAAAACAAGGCGGTCCGGAAAGAAAGGAGAGACGCGGGTAAGCAGCTGGCCGTGAAAAACTTAGAGGGGTGTTTTTTGGATAACAACAAGAGGCGGCGAGTGATATTGCTTTTTTTCTAAAATATGTAATATTAGTATGATTGAATGATTGATTAATTGGTGTTTAACGCCACTCTCAGCACTGTTGGACATTTCGTGACAGACATTTTTTATTAGTGGACGAAGCCAAAGTGCCAAAAGAGAACAACCGACCTTCGGTGGAAAAACTTACAATTCCAGTCTAATTAAGATTGGAGTCCAACGCACCTGTCACGTGCGGAACTCGAACTCACAACCTCCGTGTTAATAGGCTGGTGATACAGTAGTTGGACTACTTAGACCACTCGGCTACCGATGCCCCTATAATAATAGGAAGTCATGGTTCTGAAACATTACATTATAGAAATGTTCTCTGTTTTTTGGGGTTTTTTTTCTAAATTTATCAAACTATGTTCGAAGTAAAATATTCTTTTTTTTAAATCTTATTGTATTGTTATGGTCTACTGGACTATTCTACTTCCGCCGAGTTTATTTCGTGATCTGCATTCCCATCAGAAGTTATTGCCCTTTCATTAATAATACATAATATTAGTAGCTTAACAAGCATTCAATAATAGATCAACAATACGGAGACCTTGAACATTAAAATCATTAACACTTAAATCATTGATATACTAATGTCCAAATGAATGTTTGTATTAAGAGAGTGGGTTGTATTCTTGTTTAATGTTGCATGACACATAAAAGTATTTACCTTTTAAATTTATATATTAAAGAGACAACAATATATTCCAATAAATCTATAGTTTATCTATTATACTCTTTTCTTACTTATTTCACATAAAAATTGTTGCTGGAATATAATAATACATTCAATTGAACTTTTATAAATATTTAATTTGTCAAAGAGGATTAAATAAATTGAAACTACCATTAATATGTTTAACTTCCAATGTAAATATCTATAACCTGATTGTGCAATATGGAAATCAATGTAAGTAATTTTTCTTTTACTTTTTATCCTTTTTTTCTATTATTTCGGTTATCTAAGTGTTGAAAATATGATATTTCTGGTATTGAATTTAATGTTGTTCATCCTACTTAATCGCTTTCCGTTTTCTTTGTCATTTGAACGTTTTTATTTTTGATAACTTTAAATATTATTGTTCTTTTATCAAGCAGACCTAATTTGATTTGTAGTTTTGGATTTCTTTCTGCTTAATGTAAAGACGATATTTTGTATTCAATTTTGTTCTTGTTAAACAATTGATTTGCATGAAAAACACTTACAAAATGTGTTCTGCACTGTAATGTAAATTTTCGGATCCAGCGATGCTTAATGATTCATAAGCATCTGGTTTTCAAAATTTAAAATAGAATGAAAATAGAAATTCTGTATACCAAAACTTGTGATAAGTGGGTGTTTTCCTCTCATATTATTTTTTCTTTCCTTTTTATAAAAATTCCATTTATTCCCACTTATGGATTGATTGATTGCCGATTTTTGTTTCTTGAACGTCCAGTGGCAAATTTCCTTCTGATATTGTTGTGTAGTTCTCAGATAGATGCGTCTGTTTGCAGTGGCACCTGTATAACTCTATATATGGGTTTACTTGAGGTGGCTGTCTCATTTTTATGTTTCATTACTCATCTAATTTCATCCCTACGAGGAGGTATATAAAATATATAAGAAATCGCTAAAAAACTGTAAATCAGCAAGCGACATCCAAAAACTAGAAATCAGATTAGTGATTGCCACGTGTTCTTAATTTTGTGAAGCATGTGTAGTTTATCTTTTATTTTTTAAATTCATTTTAGGAAACTCAGATTCCTGAAGAACAATTGAGAGGTAAGGTGAACGTTAAGAAAAAAATTATGGAAGGTGTTCGTACAATCTCATCACTAAAAGAACGTAGTAACCTTCTAGTTGGGAGGTGATAACAATACAGGTCTTCAAGCATTTACTACAAATAACAGTGATAGCCTCTCTGGGTGGGAGGCGATTACAATCCAGGTCTTCATACTTGTAATACAAATAGCAATGGTAGCACTTTTTGGGAGGACCAGATTACAATACAGTTCTTCATACTTGTAATACAAATAGCAGTGGTAGGCTTCTTTGGGAAGACCAGATTACAATACTGTAACAGTTCTTCATACTTGTAATACACATAAAAGTGGTAGCCTTTCTCTGGGAATACATATTTGATTAGAATCATGTTCCATTTATGTCAACTTCAAACATTGAAACGGTTAACAGTAATTTAAAAGACAAATAGCTTTTGGACATCAGAACAGATTTTAAACCGTTTAATATCATTAAGGACTTGTTATGTGTTTACAATGATTTAGACCAGCGCAAAGTATTAACTTGGTAGAAAATACACAGAATATATGGTCACTTTTGGTAAAAAAGCTACCCAAGTAGTTTTACTTCATTGACGCATATACCCAATCTTGGAATATAGCGTTCCTGTATAAGGTACGCCAAGAAAAGCACTTTGGATGCATCAACTTTATAAAGTGTTATTTTTATGAACGTGTTGGTAGCGTTAACTATTTAAAAAATCCCTCTCGATGATATTTTCCCCTTTGTATGGTAATTTATACTCAAGTAGAAGTAGTATGTTTTAATATATTAGTATACAGGTGTTAAAGTATATTTCAAAATCTTAATGCTTTAAGTATAATTCATTACCAATCTTTTTTCAAACGTGTACCTTTAAAGGGTTTGTTCAGTAAACGCGATTTACTAAATAGTTACGTATCTCTGCACTTTGTAATCAAAAGTGGATATACTTTGAAAACAAAAGCATGATATGAATATAACTTCGAGCTTGTTAGGCGTTGTTTTTTGTAATGTCTTAATGGGATTAAGGGTTTTATGGTTTGGTTTTTTTGTGTGGAGAATATGGTATTGATGGCAGATTTTTAAGTCTCTGCTATAATTCGTAACTGTCTTAGATTCACACCAACTTAGAGCTTGGAATATAATATAGACAACTGTTTATTATTAAAGACTGTATGATTATAGTGTATGCTGACCTCTTCTGTGTTGTCTCATTGGCGTATTCTCTTCGTCTCCTTTTATTTATTGTAGATTTCTTGTCTTACTAATGCATATTAATCATATTCCTTTGTTTGTCGTCGAGGTCTTCTCTCATTGACGAATACTCTTCATCTTCTTTTGTTTGTCGTAGAGTTCTTGACTAATTGCCGTATACTCTTCATCTCGTTTTGTTTGTCGTAGAGTTCTTGACTAATTGCCGTATACTCTTCATCTCCTTTTGTTTGTCGTAGAGTATTTGTCCCATTGACGTATTCTCTTCATCTCCTTTTGTTTGTCGTAGAGTTCTTTCTCATTGACGTATTCTCTTCATCTGCTTTTGTTTGTCGTAGAGCTCTTTCTCATTGACGAATACTCTTCACCTCCTAATGTTTGTCTTAGAGTTCTCGACTAATTGCCGTATACTCTTCATCTACTTTTGTTTCTCGTAGAGTTCTTGTCTTATTGACGTATTCTCTTCATCTCCTTTTGTTTGTTGTAGAGTTCTTGTCTCATTGACGAATACTCTTCACCTCCTAATGTTTGTCTTAGAGTTCTCGACTAATTGCCGTATACTCTTCATCTACTTTTGTTTTTCGTAGAGTTCTTGGCTTATTGACGTATTCTCTTCATCTCTTAAGTTTGTTGTAGAGTTGTTGTCTTACTGATGCATATTATTTATATCCCTTTGTTGTCGTCTTCTCTCGTTAACGTATTCTCTTCATCTCATTTTGTTTCTTGAAGAGTTCTTGTCTCATTAAAATATTGTCTTTATCTCCTTATGTTTGTCGTAGACTTCTTGCCTCATTGACGTATTCTCGTTACCTCCTTTTGTTTGTCGTAGAGTTCTTCTCTCGTTGACGTGTTCTCTTTGGATCTTTTTTTTTTTGTCATATAGTTTTTCTCTCGTTGACGTATTCTCCTCGTCTCATTTTGTTTGTCGTAGAGTTCTTCTCTCACTGACGTATTCTCTTTACCTCCTTTTGTCTGTCATAGAGTTCTTGTCGCACTGACGTATTCTCTTTACCTCCTTTTGTCTGTCATAGAGTTCTTGCCTCACTGACGTTTTCTCTTTACCTCCTTTTGTCTGTCATGGAGTTCTTGCCTCACTGACGTATTCTCTTTACCTCCTTTTGTCTGTCATAGAGTTCTTGCCTCACTGACGTATTCTCTTTACCTCCTTTTGTCTGTCATAGAGTTCTTGTCGCACTGACGTATTCTCTTTACCTCCTTTTGTCTGTCATAGAGTTCTTGCCTCACTGACGTATTCTCTTTACCTCCTTTTGTCTGTCATAGAGTTCTTGCCTCACTGACGTATTCTCTTTACCTCCTTTTGTCTGTCATAGAGTTCTTGCCTCGCTGACGTATTCTCTTTACCTCCTTTTGTCTGTCATAGAGTTTTTGTCTCATTGACGTATACTCTTCATCTCCTTTTGTTTGTTGTAGAGTTCTTGTCTCATTGACGTATACTCTTCATCTCCTTTTGTTTGTCGTAGAGTTCTTGTCTCATTGAGGTATACTCTTCATCTCCTTTTGTTTGTCGTAGAGTTCTTGTCTCATTGAGGTATACTCTTCATCTCCATTTGTTTGTTTTAGAGTTCTTGTCTCATTGACGTATACTCTTCATCTCCTTTTGTTTGTTGTAGAGTTCTTGTCTCATTGACGTATACTCTTCATCTCCTTTTGTTTGTCGTAGAGTTCTTGTCTCATTGAGGTATACTCTTCATCTCCATTTGTTTGTTTTAGAGTTCTTGTCTCATTGACGTATACTCTTCATCTCCTTTTGTTTGTTGTAGAGTTCTTGTCTCATTGACGTATACTCTTCATCTCCTTTTGTTTGTTGCAGAGTTCTTGTCTCATTGACGTATACTCTTCATCTCCTTTTGTTTGTTGAAGAGTACTTGTCTCATTGACGTATTCTCTTCTCCTTGTCTTTATTGAATTGTTCTTGTTTCATTGACGTATACTCTTCGTCTCATTTTGTTTGTCGTAGAGTTCTTGTCTCATTGACGTATTCTCTTCTCCTTGTCTTTATTGAATTGTTCTTGTTTCATTGACGTATACTCTTCGTCTCATTTTGTTTGTCGTAGAGTTCTTGTCTCATTGACGTATTCTCTTCTCCTTGTCTTTATGGAATTGTTCTTGTTTCATTGACGTATACTCTTCGTCTCATTTTGTTTGTCGTAGAGTTCTTGTCTCATTGACGTATTCTCTTCTCCTTGTCTTTATTGAATTGTTCTTGTTTCATTGACGTATACTCTTCGTCTCATTTTAATTGTCGTACAGTTCTTGTCTGCATGATGTTTACTCTAAATCTCCTTATGTTCTTGTCTTATTGGCGTAAGATCTTTTTTCCTTTTGTTTGTCGTAGAGTTTTTCACTCTACTCATCGTCTCCTTTTGTTTGTCGTAAAGTTCTTCTCTCATTGACGTATTCTCTTCATCCTCTTTTGTTTGTCGTAAAGTTCTTGTCTCATTGACGTATATTCTTCGTATCCTTTTGTTTGTCGTAGAGTTAGTGTCTCATTGACGTTTTCTCTTCATTTCCTTTCATTCATAAATCTTTAAAAAAAAATAGGCAGTTAGAACAGACTAAGAAAATAAAACTTTTTTAAGAGTTTGAATGATTATTTTCTTCACCTTGGTTCAACGATTTTACAATGCGCTAGTTTACCGTTTGATTATTCTAAAATCTTTATTGTCCAGAAAGAAGTTTGATTTTATAGGTAACATAGTGGTGATCAATTATGTATATTTGTTTATGACTCCAATGGAAAGGAAAGTTTTAATATCGAATTTCCATAAAACATATTTAGCGATCCAGAGAAGGTTAAAATCACATAAATGTCGTTACCTTGTGCCGTGTTAAAACTAGCTATATCGATTAAAATTAAATGAGAAATATATTTATATTGTTTTTGAAAAAAATACTTTTTGTTAAAAAAAAATAAATTATGCCATACACACTTTTCTATTACAAGTATTCATAGAACAGGGTTTTGAGGTAAGGGAATTTATAGTTAAAGTATTCAACGTTTTTTGCAATATTCACCTGCATCCTATACATGTCGTCATTTCCGTTAAAATGTATGCAAGGTAAAAGAGGACATTCTTAAACTTTTGAAAAGATTACATTGTTCATCATTTTCAATATAATAGTAAAAGCATTTCTTTTAAACTCCATTCTTTGACAATAAACATTGCTAAAAATGAATAGAAGAAACCGTTAAAGTACAGTGCGATATCAGGAATATTATTAAAAGATTACACATATATTTTGACTTTTTCTTAAAATACACATTCACATAAATTTGACACACTTTCAAACTTTCATGCATATAAATTAATTTAGACATTAACATGTAACAACTCATTGGCAGATTTGATGATTACGGTCAAATATTTTTGCCCATTTTATCAACCTTTTTCCCGATATCATAACTGAACAAAAAGACTATGTCACCGATGATGAAATGAAGCTTATTAAAGCGAGGCAACTATGAGAAAAACAAGCCAGTTCCTGCATTGAGAAGGAAATCGTGCAAATCAGAAAAGAAACGTTCTCGAATATCATTATATTCCTGGCATTCTAACAATACATGCAAAACAGATTCTTCAATACAACATGCTTGACATGTATCACTATCTTTCAATTGCATGCGGAATAAGATAGCATTCAATGGAAGACAGTTTGTTCTAGCCAGAACCTTCAGACGAGAGGCCCAGAAATCTTCTACTTTTGTTAAATAGGGATGTCGTTCTTGTGTAATGTAAAATGAACGGTAATCAATGAGGCTTTACTTTTCAAGGATTTCGGACTTAAGCTTATCACAAGAACTTATACAAAAAACTTATTAAACATTTTGATGTATATATATATATAATAGTCTATTCCAGTGGACTTGAATATGCCGTTGATATAATTAAAATATTAATTTTTTGATAATTTAAGTTCGTTAAAAATCATTTTGCAAAATATATGTTATTTTTTTTCTAGAATTTAAAGAGGCCTTTAGTCTGTTTGACAAGGATGGTGATGGAACAATTTCGTCCGCAGAACTCGGTGTTGTAATGAGATCATTAGGTCAAAATCCGAGTGACCAGGAATTACAAGACCTAATCAATGAGGTAGATATTGATGGTAAGCTTGAAATCCAAGTTCATTTTTATACACAATCTAAAACAAAATCAAATGTATAAAAAGACAAATATTCGGTTGAGGGAGGGTTTAATTCATTTGTCTAATGTCTATCTATTTTCGTGCGTCTTTTTCTAATATGTTCATCGATTAATAAGATAAATCGGACACTACTCGAGTGCATCTCACACAAAAGTAGGAAGAAGTAGAAGAATTAAGAATAGACATTACGAGAATTGTTAAAATGTTCATATGTCTTAACTTTGACAGACATACACTATTGGTTGGCTGACTGTAAGGAACTATGTCGGTAATCAGAACACACGAATACTAATGGCTTTAGAATAATTAAAACACACAAAGACTCATTGCTTTGGGATAATTAAAAAACACAAAGATTCATTGTTTTTGAATAATTAGACCACATGAATATGCATGGCTGTGTAATAATCAGAACACACGAATACTCATGGCTTTTGAATAATCAGAACACATAAAGACTCATTGTTTTTGAATACTCAGACCACATGAATATGCATTGCTTTGTAATAATCAGAACACACAAATACTCATGGCTTTGGAATAATCAGAACACACAAATACTCATGGCTTTGGAATAATCAGAACACATAAAGACTCATTGCTTTTAAATAATCAGACCACATGAATATGCATGGCTTTGTTATTATCAGAACACACGAATACTCATGGCTTTGGAATATTCAGAACACACAAAGACTCATTGTTTTGGGATAATAAAAAAACACAAAGACTCATTGTTTTTGAATAATCAGACCACATGAATATGCATGGCTTTGTAATAATCAGAACACAAGAATACTCATGGCTTTGGAATAATCAGAACACACGAAAACTCGTTGTTTTGAAATAATCAGACATGGATACTCATGGCTTTGTAATAATCAGAACACACAAATACTCATGGCTTTTCAATAATTAGAACACACGAATACACATTGCTTTGTAATGATCAGAACACACAAAAATTCATTGCTTTTGAATAATTATAACACACAAAGACTCATTGCTTTCGAATAATAAGAAAAAACAAAGACTCGTTGCTTTCGAATAATCAGAACACACGAATACTCATTGCTTTGGTATAAGCAAAACACATGTAGACTCATTGCAATAATCAGAACACACGAAGACACTTTGTTTTGAAATAAGCAAAACACATGTAGACTCGTTGATTTGGAATAATCCAAACACGCGAAAACTCGTTGTTTTGGAATAAGCAAAAGACATGAAGATTCATTGCGTAGGAATAATCAAAACACACGAATACTCATTGCTTTGGAATGTTCAGAACACACAAAGACTCATTGCTTTGGAATAATCAGAACGCATGAAGACACGCTGTTCTGGAATACACAGAACACACGAAGACTCGTTGAATTGAAATAATCATACCAAGACTCATTGTTTTGGAATAATCAAAACACATGAAGATTTGTTGTTTTTTTAACAATCATAACACATGTAGACTCGTTGATTTAGAATAATCATAAAACATGAATACATATTGCTTTGGAATAATCAAAACACACAAAGGCTCATTGCTTTGAAATAGTGAGATGTGAGCTTGCACTACGTGTTGAAGGCCTCGAAGAACAATTTCCTCACCAGAACTCAGAAAGCTCCTTTCTTTTACATTGTTTTTTTTTCTTTGCGTGTAGGGATTTTGTATCATGAATTTCAAGAAAATAACAATAATGATCAAACTTAAGATAAAAATAAATCGCTTGAATTTTCGGTTTCTTCGACAGTGTTTATTTTCTCTTGTTATTAAAGACGTCATCAACAAATCAGTGTTTTGACGTACGTTTTTTAAAACATTTTACACCGAATGCTTAGTTCTTGAAATAATCAATCTCCAGGTCAAATTTTAGATATGATGCAAAACATTCAGTTACCTCGCAAACTTGTAATTTGAACTAAAATTAAGATTTGAAATTTACTTGTATTTCTATGCATTACTCTTATCTTTGAAGAGTTTTTTTAATAAATTCTTTCTTTATATGATACCAAACAAAAACAGTAGATTTTCTTTTATGTTAATTTATTTTAATTGTAACGCGATGTTTACAGGCAATGGAATTATAGATTTTCAAGAGTTTTTGACCATGATGGCTAAAAAAATGAAGGATACCGACACAGAAGAAGAAATTCGGGAAGCTTTCAGAGTTTTCGATAAAGATGGAAGTGGTTCAATATCAGCAAATGACCTTCGACATATTATGACTAATCTTGGCGACAAACTCCCTGATGAGGAAGTGGATGAGATGATACAAGAAGCTGACTTAGACGGTGATGGTCAAATTGATTATATTGGTAGGTATTTTTTTCACTACATCATGACGGGAAAGCCAAATCAAGTAAGATCAAGGTTCTTGATATGACAACTCGTCACAAAATTTTAAAATCACATGAACAAAGGAGAACTCTTAAAAAAAAATTTATTGACTTAAAATAGTCGCTGCTTAACGTTTTTGAATAAAATTTATATAATAATTATTGAAGAACTGGTCATCTACGGGCAGTCCATGTATCACGATAATGACAAGTTCTTCAATAACTATTATGTTTATTTCATTGAGGGACCATATTTTTAAAAATTCTCATAAATTCAAATTGTTCAAAGCAAACTCGAGTTATTGTACGATTTCTATAGGAAAGAGTGAAGACCAGTCATAGTGATAACTATAAGTCACTGCCATTCATTTAAGTGCAATTTTAGTATATGAATATAAAATAAAGTTTTCTATAATTCTTGTTGCTGAGTAGTTTGTCTCTATCAGCATATCGGAAAATATGACAAAACGATCATTTGAGTTGTCTGTAGCAGACGTGGCTTCCAGTTCAGCCATGTTCCAAACGTCTGAATCGCGATTGCGTTTTATTAAAGGGACATCACTCTAAACAGAGAAACTACGCCCCACTGGTCATTAACATGTCAAAATCCGTTAACGACCGGTTTTCTGGTCCGTTTTTTTCTGTTAAAGACCGATGGATTTTTTTACTAAAGAATAAAGAATGTCATGTGGCCCCTTGTTATCCAATACGAGAAACTAATTCTTAACCGATATGAAATAAACAATAATAAAAGTACAAAGGTTAGAAATATAACTTCTCAAGGTAAATCAACTAAAACAAAAGCAATCAAATTAATATAAAATTTGGCTAAGATCTACAACTGTGTGTATGTGTGTGTGTCTGTGTGTTTGTGTGTGATAAGAGGGGAGGCGGTTCAATATCAACAAATGATAGCATTCATAGCATAACAAGTCTATGCAACAAACATATCTAAGTTATGTTTAATGTACTAAACAATAAAACTTGTTAGAGAAGATACGGTATCAATGAAACAGCAATCCAACGACACAAATAACAATAAAAAACAAACACCTATAGGTCAACATACAGACTTCTGTAATGGACAGGGCTGATGTCTATTCAATATGACGGTTATTATCAAAGTATGACTCATGATCATATCTAAACATGCTGTCGTCGTGAATATACGCGAACTGTTTGGCACTGAACTCGGGTTTTTTTTTTGTATTTTTGCATGCACCCATGAACTAGTCATCAATTGATTTAAAACCTTTTGGTATTTACATATGTATACGCATGGTACGAAGAGCTTAATGTTTTATCTGTATGTTACGAGATCTTAGATGTATGAAATTTAACAACTAGAGTATAAAACTATTAATCTTCTGAATCAGTTTACTTCTTTGCCCGTTATTTTGACATATTTTGTTATATCATCATTGCATATATTCTAACTAATTTGATTCGTTTAGAAAGAGTCACATGTTTAACTATAGTTTCAAGGGTAGACTGAAAAAAGCAGATAGACAGTCATATTGCACAGTTGTTTTTAGACACATCGTAACAAATAATCAAATGAATTTGTGCTCTACATCTGGCTTATTGACAATAATAATATAACAATTGTATCCTTTTTATGAGGTCGATACGAGGATATATCGACCTAAAGAAGTATATCGACCTCGGACTTCGTCATCAGTCTATAAATTTCTTTCAGGTCGATATATCCTCGTATGGACCTCATACAAAGGCTACAATTATATCATAACCATGAAGCTATAACAGATTGTAAACAACAACAATGATCAGCTCGACGAGAACTACATATAAGTCAATATAACAGAAATAATCCTTCAACACCTTGTAGAAGTAGTTGAACTTCGATGTCGGATTTTACCTAATTTTGCGTTTTTGACTATAATCTTGAAAACTTAAATAAGTAGAAAGAAATTTTAACACAAAAATTGACCAGCAAGACAATGTCTACAACATGACCGACATCGTCGTTCGTTAATATGACTAGGAGTTATTACTCATAATTGACAATTTTACAATTTTTTTTTTTTTTTTTGCTATTTTCTTGAGAACTCTAATATAAAGTTCTAAAAAAAATAGCAGAAAAAAAACAAAACATCGGTTAAAAGTGTCATATGAAACTCCATTAATCAAATATAGAGACTGTATACAGCAAATATGATAAGCAAGGTATACTATACAGACACGCAAACACAACTGAAATTGTCGATCAACATTTTTATTGCCTTTAAATGATTTTAATCCTTTTTTTGTAAGGTAGGGACAAACTGTAATCAGAAAAAAATATCAGGAATATGAGATCTACAAATAAGTCAAATACCGGAAATTGACGATCGTTTTCTTGTAGAATTTATTGCCCTTAAATAACGTTGTATGTCAAATATTTCACCTAACTGGCAATCGTCTAGAAAACTATAATAGATAGAGTGTCTGTAACAAGCAAAAATGATCTGCAAACCAAAAACAACAAATAACTATATTGCCCTTAAACGATGGTGGTAAAAGGATATTTTCGTGCAACGTTTTCGGTCTTTTTATTTCACGTGTTTTCGTTTTTTGACGTTTTATTTCTTGTTTTCTCGTGTTTGGTTCGATGTGCGTGCTTCGTGTTTCCCCTTATTTATTTTCCGTGTTTCGTGTCGGTACTCTTAATTTCTCGTGCTTCTCTCGCATTTGAATAAAAAGTAAACCGGGAATAATTCAAAGTCAGCCCGGATATTGTTTTACTATGAATAATATTTTTTTGAAATCAGATGCAACCAGCGGACGCTCAAAGGTGACCGCAGGGTTTTCATGTCCATTAATAATGACTGCATGATCTCCAAGAACGGCTGAGTAATTACTTCTAGTACGTTTTTCCTTAATATTTACGATTTTATTTCTCGTGCTTCGTTTTTCCCGATTTTTATTTTCCGTGCAACGTTTTTGCGATTATTATTTCACGTGCCCCCCCCCCCCCTCCCCCCCCCTCCCCCCCCCCCCCTCCCCCCTTTACCACCCTCTTAAACGAGGAAGTGTTACTCCTTTTTTTCCTATTTGGCTATTATCTAAACACTATAAAAGATAGCGAGAAACATTTAAAATAGTCAAAATCATTAGCAAGATGAGACAAAAAAAAAATCAAAATGATCAGAAAAATAAGATCTACAGATAAGTGAAATAACCGAAATCGTCGATCGATTCCCATAAGGAGTTATTGCCCTTAAAAGATGATTTATTTTTACCCTTGAGAAACTAAAAACAGCAAATTTGATCAGAAAGAAATGATCTTCATATAAGTCAAATGATCGGAATTGTCAACATCTGTGTAGGAGTTATTTCATGAAATGATGATTTGTTATCCAGTTTTGCCTTTAACAATTATCTTGAAAACATCTACAAGAAAGTCCCATGATCGAAAGAGTTATTGTCCTTTAAAAATGACTACTAAACATTTTAAAACTGATCTTCGTGTGGATCTGGATCAAATCTGGTCATAACCTGACTGAGTGTTAGAAAGATGGCTACCTCCATGTGTTGCTAAAGGATTTAATGATAAATAACTTTGCCAGCTGCTGTGAGCCGCAAATTTATTTTATACATAGAAATACTTATATACATTACATACAATTACGTTGTTTCGTGCGATTAGAAAGGATTTAAAACTTGATATGTAATTAGTGAAAACATTGCTTTTCTTTTTTTAGAGTTCGTGAAGATGATGTGTGGAAAATAGAATCTAAGGAGGATTAAACATATCTAAGATATTATTTTGATACTATGCACAGACAATACATGTGGAAAAACACCAAATACCACCATTCATTTCAATTGATTTATTTGTTACTTATGTTGTATAAAGTTGTGTTATTGTTAGAAATAAACTGATCATAGAACGGATTGTTATTCCATTGCGATATGAAAGTCAAAACATATAGATCAAATAGTATTGATGAATCCCTGATGTCGAAATCTGATTATATAACAAAAAAATATTAAAGAAATATGAAAGTTCCCTGATTTCCATATTCGTTGCTGTATGAAATATAATCTTCAGTACTTGATACATTTTTTAGTATTGTTCCTGCTTGTTCTTGTTTTTGTTATCTATTATACCGTCATAGATTTAAGTGCTTTGTATCAAGATATTAGAGTGAAGGTAGGCTTGATTGCTATCCCAGTAGAAGAGGTATTCCGAACTTGCCCTTAGTTATTGCAAGCGTGGTTTTATACGCCAGCTGGTATCATTTAGTGTTGCTTGACTTGAACCTGTGTTTTGACATTCGTAAGACCGGTATCATTTAGTATTGCTTAACTTGAACCTGTGTTTTGACATTTGTAATATACCGGTATCATTTAGTATTGTTAAACTTGAACCTGTGTTTTAACATGTGTTATACCGGTATCATATACTTTGCATATTTTATAGACACGTGTTTACTGTTACAAACCGTGTGTTGATCTATATAAGTATTTTCTGAGGTTTGGTGAGATTTGCTGTCTCATCGACGATTTCTCCACATTTACGTATAATATAATTTTACAAGTAATGTCATGAATCCTGAAAACTAATTTGAGTTATCTACCTTACATTGGTCACATGGAAATAAACTCATCATAGATACCAGGATTAAAATGTTGTACGCCAGAAGCGCGTTTCGTCTACAAAAGACTCATCAGTGACGCTCGAATAAAACAAGTTAAAAGGCCAAATAAAGTACTAAGTTGAAGAACATTGAGGACCAAAAATTCCGAAAAGTTTAGCCAAATAAAGCTAGGATAATCTAAACCTGGGGTAGAAAATCCAAGGTATTTCGATAAATTCAAAATTTTACGAACAGTTAATTTACAATTAATGACCATATCATTGATAATTCATGTCAACACATAAATGCTGGCAACAAATGGAATTTTTAGATGGATATGGTGGTGGTTGTCTAGAAATTTCAACTGTACCCCTGCCCCCCTTTTCCCCCAAAAAATGGACGGGGAAGTGTATACATGGTACTGAACAATGCATGGGAGGACAAAAGATCAAACAAAAATTTGAAAAATGGTAATACGGGAACTGGGATTGTAAAAGTATACAATATACCAACTTTGATTTGAAAGTTTGGCTAACATGAAGTAATATTTATAAAAACGGGGTATCAAATTTTGGAAAAAAATGTTTAAAGACTTTAAAACTCCACTGAATAAACTTGTTTTTATAAAGGTGGTCCATAGTTATCGATTTCTGGAGAAAATTCATATTAAACACAAATACTGTCCTGTTGTCACACTATATTGTCCTACATACCTAACATTTTAACATTTCTCATTTCAATCACCCATTTCTCATTTTACAAATACAATGTGAAAAAAGAGCTGTAAATGAAAGAAGATTCAATGTAAAACAAAAATGGCTCAATGTCTCTTTCTCTTTTGTGATGTAAGGATCTTTCATTTTCCTTTTGATGATGATCATTGTGCCATAGGCTGGCTTCCTTTTGATGATGAACATTGTGTCATAGGCTGGCACAACTTTTGATGACGACCATTGTGTCATAGGCTGGCACAACTTTTGATGATGATCATTGTATCATAGGCTGGCACAACTTTTTTTCACATTGTATTTGTGTTTAATATGAATTTTCTCCAGAAATCGATAACTATGGACCACCTTTATAAAAACAAGTTTATTCAGTGGAGTTTTAAAGTCTTTAAACATTTTTTTCCAAAATTTGGCACAACTTTTGATGATGATCATTGTGTCATAGGCTGGTACAAGTTTTGATGATGATCATTGTGTCATAGGCTGGCACAACTTTTGATGATGATCATTGTGTCATAGGCTGGCACAATTTTTGATGATGATCATTGTGTCATAGGCTGGCTTCCTTTTGATGATCATCATTGTGTCATTGGCTGGCTTCCTTTTGATGATCATCATTGTGTCATAGGCTGGTACAACTTTTGATGATGAACATTGTGTCATAGGCTGGCTTCCTTTTGATAATGATCATTGTGTCATAGGCTAGCACAACTTTTGATGATGATCATTGTGTCATAGGCTGGCACAACTTTTGATGATGATCATTGTGTCATAGGCTGGCACAATTTTTGATGATGATCATTGTGTCATAGGCTAGCTTCCTTTTGATGATCATCATTGTGTCATAGGCTGGCACAACTTTTGATGATCATCATTGTGTCATAGGCTGGCTTCCTTTTGATGATCATCATTGTGTCATAGGCTGGCACAGTTTTTGATGATCATCATTGTGTCATAGGCTGCTGGCACAACTTTTGATGACCATCATTGTGTCATAGGCTGGCACAACTTTTCGAAATTGTTTGGTTTTTAATGTTCTTCAACTTCGTGTTTAATTTGGCCTCTCTACTTTTCGATTTGAGCGCAACTGGTGAGCCTTATGTAGACGAAACGCGCAGCTGGCGTTCCAAATTATATGCCTGGTATCTTTTATGACTTTACAACCATTGAGTCGAAGCCACTGCTGGGTGGACGTTTCGCCCTGAGGGTATCACCAACCCAGTGGTCAGCACTTTGGGTTGACATGAATGATCATTGATATGTTCATTTTCTGTAAATTTACTGTTCGTAAAATGATAAAATATTCGAAACACTTCGGTTTTTCTATCCAAGGCATAGATTGCCCTAGCCGTATTTGGCACAACTTTCTGATTTTTTTTAATTTTTAATGCTCTTCAACTTCATGTCTGATTTAGCCTTTCGATTGTTTTGATTCGAGCGCTACTGATGAGTATCATATAGACGAAACCCGCGCCTGGCGTTCAAATTATAAGCCTGGATAATTTTGATGAGTTTTTCTTCATATGGGTATCTAAATAACCCATGTTGGGACCGAGAACCAGTCCAATTGAGTCATAATCGCTACGGTGCTCATCTGATAGCTAAATCTAAATCGCGTGATAGTTTGAATGTCCTCTACAACCCTCTGTAATTTGACCATTATATAACATGCACAAGTGAATTATAATTGTAAAGATTCTTTTTTAATATTTTACTGAATAGTTTTTAAAGTGTCAGTTTATTATATTCTAGATTTCTTAATTCAATATTTTACCGACAACAGTAGTATCATTAATGAGGGTGTAAATAAAAACTATAACATTATAGTTTTAAAACATACTATATTCATAAAATACAAGCAAAAAATACAAGACACAAGTTACTACAACTGAGAACGTATGCTCCTTATATATATATTTCCATTCTCAATTTCCATTTATATATAAAATTATCTAAAAGCATGCAAATATTTACTTACATTTTTAATGATATTAAGGCATATGAAAATTAGAAAACAGAGATGAAAAGAAGTGACGTGTATATGTGCGTGCCTTTAAATCATCTGTTAATATTTCATAAACAGACCAATCTCATTATATTAGAAACATTTTTTTTCAAATTCGATTTTGAATATTTCTAAATATTTCTTGGTTTTTGTTCATAAGTTCAACAAAACCAGGATCAAAAGAAGGCCGTCAGGATAAACAGTAACACATCACAAGTTTACTTTTATATTTGTAATAGGAATATTTTATTAGTCTAAAGCATTATTTATTCTCGCCAATGTAGCCAAATTTATGTCCTCTTCGTCTCTTTTTCAAATCTTTTTCTTTATGTTATAACATATCGAAATGATAAAACGAATTTGTTTCAGCCATATCACTGGGTTTTTACTTCCCTTTTAGATAACTTCGTTTCTTCATTGACCATTTTCCCTACTGTCCGTCTATAATGATAACTTACACAGTTTTTTGTCTTTTTCTCACTCATCAAACATATATGTTGGATGATTTTCTGGACTTGGTCACCTCATCTTGCCGACTTATAAGATTAGATCTAAAATATTATATTTTCAAATTAATATAACATTGTAATAATTAAAGACAGGAAAAGAATTCCACGAGTAGACGTGGTCATGGTCGATAACCCCATTCTTTAGATAGGTATATAATTGCACTATTCAAACAATTTAGGAATGAATTAGTTTTTCAAATAATATATATAAAACTTTAATACACATGTTAACAGTTATATTTGAAAGTCATGTTAGATTATAAGGATCTAATTGGATTGAAATGGCGAAGATTTTGCTAAAGGAGGTAATTTCATATTCTTCTAAATGTAGTTACTTTCACGCTTTTCTCGTCGGCTTTATGAAGGCTTGAAAGACAGTGCATGATGTGCAAAAATGTATGGTATCATATAGTAGATGGAATAACTTACAGATCAGCTATTTTTGTCGATTGTAAAGGATTCTTTTATCAATCTGACGACTATCATCTAGTTTCGACTGCCAAAAATCGCTGATCTGTAAGATATTACATCTACATGCCACCATTCACCATATACTGTGTGATAAACCTAAAAGAAGCGGACGAGGAAAGACATAAGTCGACTAACGAAAGCTTTTCTTTATATAGCACAATTGGTCTGGACACAGTGCAGCCAGAGTTGCAACGACGCCACAGAAGTAATTTAGATGCTAACATATATACGACGTGGTTTTTTTTTCGTATCATATTATCTCCTCCTCGTGAAAGTTTCTAATCCTTAGTTGCCTATCACAAACCATGAACTAAATGTTCAATAGGTATACATGCCCGTTATTTGATAGTACATGTATATTCAATAGACTATGAAAATGTATCTGACAAAGCATCACATTGTCTTCAACATAAAGCATATTTTATTCCAATGGGTACTAATTATGCACCCCTTCTGGCCAACTTCTTTTTGTACTCGTATGAAGCAGAATTCATTCAAAACCTTCTTAAAGACAAAAAGAAAAAGCACCTTGCAAAGTTCTTTAATTTTACTTTCAGATATATAGATGATGTCCTATCACTGAATAACCCATATTACAGTCAGTACTTGCATCTCATATATCCCAGTGATTTGAAATTAAGGATACTACTGATACAAGAAGGACTGCTTCATACCTTGATCTTTTCCTCAAAATTGACACAGATGGACGACTTAACACTAAAATCTATGACAAATGGGATGATTTCAACTTCCCAATTATCAATTTTCCATTTCTCAGCAGTAACATACCCTCTGCTCCGTCGTATGTTGTGTGCATATCTCAATTGATTCGTTAAGCTCGTGCATGTTCACACTATACGAACTTCATATACAGGAGTGTGTTCCTTACG